ATCCTTTTCAACAATTTATGTAACAAATCGTAGCTAGCTAACCATAGATCATAAAAGAGCTCATTTGTTCGAAAACATTTTCCTTTCAAAATCTTTAACTAACTCTTTAGAAAAAGAGTTTGTTTACTTTCTATCTTGGATTTATTACTTTTGAAGCAAGAAATATTTTCACAGAAAAACTATACTAATATGCCATGTACCTCAAAGGAAAAATCCACATGTACTCACCTCGCTAGTTAGTGAAGACTAACTTTCAATTTGGCTTCTAGCCTCACTCTATCTCTTAGTTCAAACGCTGGTCCAACCTATCTGGACAAATACCAAGTTCCTCAGAACTTGTCTTAATACACTTAGGAGCTTATTTATCATATCAATTACAATGACCTTTTCCTGATCTCTAATACAGCTTGGTAACCATTTGTTACCAAATCACTAAGCTCCTAAAAACCATTACCAAATGGCTTAACTCCATAAGCCAATAGTCCAATCTTACAATCGGTGTCGGGCAAATTAGTGAACTAGGGTTTACAATCCTCATTATCCAATCGAGAGTTCCACCACATAAACTCTTTATCTATTTCTTTATCCGTCAGCTCATAACAACATTGGGTTAAGAGTTTCAAATACTATATTGGGTTTATCAACCCTTCATGACTCAATATTTACATAAAAGAAATTACGCATTAACAATCGAGAGGATACCTTAGCCCAAACGACAATCGTACCCTTGTTAGACATCTGTATCTAAGCCATAATCGTCGCTCATCGACTCAAATCTCAACTCTTGCATACTGAAGTTAAAACGACCTTTTGAAGGCTACACGTTGACATGTGACTGCTTGGAGCATTCTTCAGAAAAACGTCCAATGAATGACAAATTATCGTTATTTATAGGTTGAGAAATCGGGATCTGCGTTTTCTTTCCATAAGGTGGTGCTGCGACTTGAGCTATTTGTCACCTTCCTAACTGCCACGTGTAATCTTCGATCTACACGTGCTTTCATTACTCAGCACCAGACACACCACATCTTTTAAAAAGGCACACCGCGCTTTTCGGTTTTTGCCAAATTTTCTCGAATGGCAACATAGTTTCTATTCCAACTTCGAATGGCCATAACTTTCTCATATGAAATCCGTTTTTGATAAGCTTTATATCCACGAAATTGTATCACAGTTAACTACAACTTTTTTATTATTACTCCTGCATAGAGTAAATCGATTCTCAAATTCCCACGTCGTTATAATTTCACATAACAATAACCTACTATAATGTTCATGCATATCAATTCACCACAACTCTCAACCAATCCCAACCTTACAGGTTCTAATCCAATAAATCATAATATTGTATTTATCACGAAATTAACCCAATATAATAATAAACATACATCTAGATGACATATATATCTAGAAAAGAAGTGTGTTACCCACTTGGTTAGTTAGTGAAAACTAACTACCATTCGGGTATCCATAAGATCATGAATAACTAGAAAGGTAACATAAGAGCATGAAACTGTTATCAAAAGTAAAGATTAAGAAACAAAGAAGCGAGACTATCCATCAAACCTAATTTTTCGCCTACAAACCACTTTATCTAAGGTCATGTCCTCGGTAAGAGAAAACTCCTCCATGTCAAGTCTCACATTATCCTCCCACTTCCATCTTGGGCGTCCTCTCATCCTGTCACCCTCAATCACAATTGATTCTACCCTCCTTAATGGCGTTGATGGTATCCTCCTTAAGAAATGTCCATACCATCTCAAACATCCTTCCTTTAATTGCATACAGTATAATCATATTATACCCTTATATGTACGGGAACCAAACGGAAAAACCGTTCATATGTTTGGTGGTTAAGTAGCTACCATAACTCACTTTCCAACCGACACAACGTTTCCAATAATCACGATGTTACAGAATATCCTAACGTCTAACTTATTTTCAACATAACTATTGGAAAAACAAATTATCGAGAACAACAATAAAATAAGTTTACACCTTGTAAATTGAAGTAATACACATTGAGTCCAAGCCGGTAAGCATAGTTATTCATAGATGTAGGATCGTCATTGCAGTACACCGGAACCATTCCATTTTTTCAGGCTTCTCTGATCTCCCTACGCACCACATTTTTAATTTCAATCGAAAATCAGCAATTCCTATTTCTATCAGGAAACATGTATGTTGTTGAAGCAATATATATTTCAAAAACAAAGAATAGTGAACACGGAATTAGGATCGGTGGATGGGGTAATCTTTCAAATTGAAATTCTTGAAGAAGTTGAAGACGATGACAATTAAGGACATGGCGTGGCAGCTTCCATTTCGACTTGAGACAAGGATGTAGAAGACGATCACAAAGGACAAATATGGAGCTAGGGAAGAAGACGGTATATACATACAGGTTTAGGATAAATCACAACAGCAGGACGTTTTTATTTAGAGACGAAGACCAAGAGGTGGTAGTTTTGGTGATATGCAGTTTGTACATCAGCCGCTTACATGCTTACATGGCATTAAAATTTTAGAAAACACTAACGGTTAAATAGTTGCATGCCTATAAAAATTATGTAACGTGGACATCTTTTTCATACTTTCATTAGTAATTAATCGTAAATAATATTCTTACAAAAGTAACCTGTTCCATATCTTGATAGTTGATGAACGTATAGAAAGTTTATATCACGGCTTGAAAAAGTCAAATATAACCTTAATTTGATGTTTACGTTTGTGCACATTCGGTTTTTATTGCTGCAGATATCACTATGGAGTATATAAAGCCAAAGGAGAGTATCATTTTAAGTGTTTCTTCTGTGGATGATAAACTCTCATCTAAATGGTTATATAGCATGTCAAGAAGTGTGGACAATACTGAAGAGAGGATGCTGGCCGTAATTACCAATGTGACCAACTCCTCGATGATGATGATGATGTCTTTCAGGCTCTTACTAAACTCAAGGTTCGTGGTGGGTATAACTTTGTTAGAAACAGAATTGACGATGAAACTCACGAGGAAGCTCAAATCCGAGAAGCCACACTATTTGAAGCTCACCCCTTGTTGTCCAAGATTGAAAAGTCCATGGTGGGTATTCCTGCCTTGGCCAGTAGGCTTGTTCAAATTCAGTTAGTAATCATATTGAAATGTTTTCCGGACATTGTGGATAAGATCAATGAGGGGATCAATATTTTGGATTTGGAGCTCAACCAATTACCCAACAATTTTATGAGTAAAGCTGATGGACTGGTTGCATTTATGCATATCATTAGGTCCTTCACGGAAACTCTTCAAATGATGTTCATAAAAGGAGAATACAATGAGTACGTGGATTTTAAGAAAATGCATTGCAATGCTCGGTTAATTGACATGCTAGATGAGTTTTCAAAAAACCTCCATTCGAGTGTCCAATTCTCTGAAAGTTTCCTAGTTGAGGAGATGCAGGTTTTAGAGGAAACTAATGGAATCTGGTTGCCTCATTTCCTTCCTCACTCATTTTGGATTAGGAGGAAAATGAATAATGTCTCTACTTTTGCCATTCTTTTCGTGAAACAAGTGTGGAGTTATCTTGAAATTGTTTGTGCTAGAATTTTAATTGATCACTATGGGGATTATCCACAATTACTTTCCTCCATGAGGAAAGCAACTCATAATGTGATCGAGAAAATGAAGTTTGAGTTTATGGAGAAAGTTGTTGAAATGATAGAGATGGAGAAGACCACATACTATACATGTGACCCTGATTTTGTTGCTTCTTGGAACATGTTAATTAGCAACCGCGACAAGTTTATGAAGGCAATGTGCAATCATTTGGAAGAGCTAAGTATGGAAGGTCATGATGGCACTGTTAACGTTAAGCATCTATTTAGTATTCCGGAAAATACAAGGGATCAAGCATTTGATTTAAAAATGAGAATGACGGCTTATTGGAAAATTGTTCTGAAACGAATGGTGGATCGTACTGCGCTTCGGCTTCGGTTTATGATTCAAAAAGTGGTGAACAAGGAAATGGAGATGGAGATAGTGAATGAGATGATGATGCATGGCGGAGGCATAGAAAAAATGTCCGAGGAACTATCATCCACGGGCAAAGAGAGAGTGAGGCTTCAAAGAAGCATTGGGTTGTTCCAGGAATCAAAACAAATCATGGAGCAAGTTCAAGTGTAAACTAAACTTGGTTCCATCAACATCTTGCAAGAACGAAGGATTTGATAATTAAAATAATAATAATAATAATAATAATAAATACAAAGACATGTATACCGCTTTATTTAATAAATGAATATTAAATTGAAAAAGATTACACTTTTCATATTAGCCCCAATTTCTTTGACATCTCCCAACTGCATGAAAGATCCCGTCAGTTACATGATATGCAGGAAATCGATGAACACAAAATATGGGTTATTGCTTTGGTGGCGACGGAAATGGCAACAAAGTGAAGGAATTCGTCTGAAAATACCATTGTTGAGGATTAAGATGTAGTGAAACAATTCCGTTGAATAGTACTGATTAAATAACGGGTTTGTCAATATATGTGAAACTCGTGTTGGTTTTAAACTTATTCCCCTCGATTAAATAACGGAAATGGCAACAAAGTGAAGGAACTCGTGTTGGTTTTAAACTTATTCCCCTCGATTTTCACTTGGCTAACAGGTCAAACAGTACTGATTAAACCCCGGGTTTGGATCACCACACATTGACCACAAACTCATTTGCAACAAAACATTCTCTAAACATACACCTCAGTTGGATCACCACATTGACCACAAATCCAATAAAATCACCTCAAAATCAACCTATTCACCACATCCCATTATTATTAGCCCTAAAACACGCTTCCTCCACCAATTGAGCTGCAACCCCAACATAATTATGTGGTGTCAACTTTAAAAGCTCTGTTTTTGCTTCAACCGGTATTTCCAACCCTTTAATGAATTCAGTAATCCTCTCTTCATTAACCACTCTTCCTCTCATAAGCTCCTTCAGTTTCTCATAAGGCTCCTCAAACACCATATCTTCTCATCACCTACACACAAACACAAAAATAAATAAATAAATAAAAACTATTTTCGATTAAAATATAAAATTTGAAAGCCAGATACAGATACATACTGTCTGTATCGGTTCAGCAAGAACCTCCCATGAGTTGTCCAGATCCTTGTTTAAGGCAGCTTCATTCACCTACAACACACAAACATAAAGATGTTCAAATACAAATAAAATATTAAAATCTTAACCCAATTAAAAAAATAAATAAATAAATAAATTGTTCATTTTATTACCTGAAGCTTCCTGATTCCAGCAAGTGCACTCTTGTAATCCCACACCAATGTTTCTCAAAACAGTAGAATCAGTCAAGTCACGCTGTAATTTTAACGAAAATGGGGGGTCAAGGGTAAAAAATATGTTTACATGATAAATTTGGGAGTAAATTGCAAAAATGGTCCCTGGATATCCCAAAAAGTGCAGTTTGAGTCCATTTTTCATTAAATTGCAAAATTAGACCCTGTGGTATCCCAAAAAGTGCAGTTTGAGTCTTCTTTTTAGACGGCAGTTAACTCGAGAGACCAAATCTGCATGGAAATTTCAACTTTGGACTGACCATGCGAAAGAAAAAAAAAGGACTCAAACTGCAATCTTTGGAATACCACAGGGACCAATTTTGCAATTTGCTCATAAATTTATATACCTGCCAACGGGAGATAGGTAACTTCATGCTTAAATGGTCTAAAATTGCATTAGCAATTCCAAGATTTCCTTCACTGTTTTCAAAGTCAATGTATTGGGTTGACTTTGTAAGGCATAGTCGATTCCACCAGCTTTAGTCACCTACACAATAGTTTTTAAAATGTCAAAAGACCCAATTGATTATCACTTTATCACAATTCACAAAGATTCTGGAAAGTTTACTGTTTGAAGTATCCAACAGAGATATATCCCCATATGTCTTTATCAAAATCAAGCAAGATGTTATTAAATCGAATAAATGAATGGAAAAGTTTTGCCATGTAATCATGAGATTCAATCTGCGTCACAAATAGGGTTGTTTTAGAAACAATGTAAGCAACTACAGTATACATAATACAGATTAAGGAATAAAAATAAAGCATACTTGTGTTACATCATTATATGCCACAACATGTGCATTGTAGTTCACAACTGCTCTTGCAAATTTCTCCAAAATTTCTACTTTTTGAAATATCGTGTCTTTCTCTGCTTAATCTTTCAGCAAATATCACCATTTCCTTTCCCAAAGTTGTAGGTGAAGCTGGCTATAGAACAACATATAAAACAAATTATTAATTACCCTTTTAAATTTATAGATGTTATAATTAAAAAAAAAAAAAAAAGATTTTTTTTACCTGTCCATGAGTTCGAGAAAGCATAGGAATGTGAGCATTGGCTTTTGCCATCCCTGGAAGAATAACCAAGTTTAATGATTCTTTAAGCATTAGACCATGAGCTAGATTGTTTATGTCTTCTGATGTACATCCAAAATGAAAAAATTCAAGCACCTGTACGTTTTTTAGAGTAAAATGTTATATTTCTTGCATTAAACCTAAAAGATATGACATTGACATTGACACTGACCTTAGCTATCTGTGGATCTTCTTGACACTTTGTTTTAAGAAAATACTCGACTGCTTTCACATCATGATTAGTTATTCTCTCGATATTCTTCACTTGCCTTGCATCACCATTGCTAAATCCATCAATTAGTTCTTGTAATTTCTTTTGGGATTCATTGCTAAAGCTTGGAACCTCAGATACTTGAGGAATCTGTGAGAGCTTTAGTAGCCACTTTACCTAAGGTATAAAAAAAGTAAAACATCAAAACAAATTTTTATATTACTTTGAGTGAATTGGATTTTGTTTATTCACAATGATACCTCAACCAGGGTGCGATAGTAGATAAGACCATATTCACTCAAATAGTGGGCGAGATCTTCGACTTTATATTCCTATAACGCCCATCTAAGAGACTTAGCAGTTAAACTCGAGAGCTCAAGCTCAGAAGAAAATTCAGAAGGCTTCACTTTTACCTGAAATTATATGTAACTTTTCAGGAAATGTAGACAAGAAGCATATGTAGAAATTATAGTAAATAGATAAAGTAATAGGAATTAGGAAAAGGTTTTACCTTTTCTACAGCTTCAATCTTGCTATTGGCCTCCTTTAAAGTTGCTTTGCAAGTGCAATTTTGCGAGGAAGTGTCACATAAGATGAAGGAGTTGAAATACGGTTTTGGGTTGAATAGATTGTTCATGGAGGTACTTACTTGCACGAGTTAAGTATAATGTTGGACAGCTGCCATTTTGAACTTTAATGCAAGATCCGATTTCCATGAATACTTCAAAAGCTTCAAAAGAATGATGTAAGAATGATAAACATTATTTCTCAACATTTTCTAGTATAAATATGGGGTGAACAGAAGGGTTATTTCTACAACTATATACGTTATTAAAAGCCAAACATTTCTGAACACAATCTAAAAAACTGAAACAAATGATTAAAAAACAGTAAGCTACTAAGATTTAAACCCGAACACAGTAAAATCTCTAAATTTTTTAAAAATTTACGTGCTTAAAACTCATAACTGCAAACAGATGCAACTAAAACCCCAATTTTCTAAAAAATTCTGGAGCATTTCTGAACTAATCCATACATATCATTTCTGAAACTATCCAAACCATTTCTGTAACAATCTCAATATACTGAAAGTATCAGATAATCTCAATCTCAATATACTGATAAAAGTATCAGATACGCAAAAACAAAAATAAAAATGCTGAAATCGGAGAAGGTGAAGGAGAAAACTAAAAGTACAAATTTCGATTGTAGTAGTAGAATCAGTGGAGGCGTTAATTCGAAGCTGGAGATAGCCAGATAGGAGAAGGAGAGAGGAGAGGAGAAGTAAGCACGGGGCGACGCACTGCTTTAAGATATGGGGGGCGTGCCCCGAAAGCTAATTCACTTGACATGTATTTTGAATAAAGCCGCCAAAAATCGATCCAACCCCCAACCCAACCCGAACCAGTGGCGGATCCAGATAAATATCAACCGGGGTCCAACCTATAACTAACAATAGTCCCTTCTGGCGACGGTGGCCGAATATACCTTAGGCGGCAACTGTAGCATTCCTCCGGCAATGGTGGCAGTAGGAAGAAAGCAACAAATTGATGTGGTTTTCTTATGAGTTATAAAAATAGATGAAATTTTTTGATGAGTTTTCAAAAAAAAAAAAAAAATCTAATGGGAAAAACTGAAATTGCGTAAAAATATATCCATTACATACTATTCTTTTAAATAGTGAAGATGATCAAGAGGGTGCCAAGAGAAGTCTGCACAAATTTAAAAGAATAATTTTTTTTTTTCCTAATATATAAGATGCGTCCTATTTTCAAGTGGGGCGATGGACACCACTGTTTCTACACTACATCCGCCACTGACCTGAACCAACCCAAATATTGGGGGTTGGTTGAGATTTTCAACCTATTTAATTAAATGGGTCAACCCGTCTAACCTATTTAATTAAATAGGTTGGGTTGGGTAAAAAATTAATCAACCTGTTTTCAACCAGTCAAACCATTTAACTTTAATATATATATTTAATTTAATATTATTTTTATTATCATGTATTAATATAGTATTAATTGTAAATTATAAATGTGGCATTATTATTATCTATGTTAATAAATTCAATCCTAATTTTCATCCTATTTTAGCGCTGATATACTGTCACACTCCCAAAATCACGGTAAAACTAAACATTTTTCATGTTATTTGAACAATTTTTATGTTTATGAATTAGGGTTGTTTGCTTTTTCTCATAATTATGAAGTTTTTATTTAATCTTTTTATATTTTTAATTTAATTTTATATTATATAATATTTATTATCTAAATATTTTAATTGATTTTAAAGGGGTTAACCCAAGTTTACCCCATTTATTTAATAGGTTGCGTCGGGAACTATATAACCCAGGTCAACCCGGTGACAACCCATTTTCATCTAAAAGGTTGGGTTTGGTTGGAAATATCAACCCATTTAAATAAACAGCTTGGGTTGGGTTGAATTTTCACCCCAATTATTAAATGGGTTGAACCCGAACCCAACCCAGGTCGACCCATTGCCACCTCTAATTTTGAATGAGAGAAATAGGCTTAAAAAGATTACCAACATGGAGGCCCATAAATGAACCGGCCCAATTAGTCAAAAAAGAAGTAAAACTCGGTAAAAAACACAATAATGCATCTAACGTTTAGCAAATTTCATCGAAATTGTTTCTTATTATAAAATGAGCTATTTAAGATGGTTAATCTCCTAAGAATACGAAAAAGAAAAACAGAGTCTCACCACAATTTTTTGATGTTTTTCATTCATGCAATATGAAACTTAAATATATTGAAAAACGGAATGCTAACACAAATCTTAGAGATCGTGGGTGCAACAATAAAGCTTTAACCTACTAATCGGATGTCTATTCAGAAAATAAATGAAAAACACACACGAGCTTTGACTAGTAATCATGTGGGAAACCAATCCAAAAATTAGACAGGCTTTTTCACATTGTGTTGAGCCGAAGATGATCTTGGGCTAGTTGCTGCTACTGCTACGTTACTTCTTGGTTGGGTTGTATGTGGGTCATATCAATACTCTCCCTATGAGAAACGACCTCGTCCATGAGGGTTAGGAAATCTTTGTTCTAATTCGCTACTGTCTTTCTATGTAGATTATGAGAGGTCCGGATTGGCCATTTGATGAGTCTTTTGAGTTTGAACGCTAGCAAAAGTACGGGTATGCATGATATGTTTAGGAGTATATGTTGGTTTTGGTTCTTCAGTGATCCATTTAGGTGAAATTTTTCTAACCCTTGCTGAGTGTAGCTTGGTTATAACAGCGAAATGCGGAATACAAAGTTTGAAAAATGTTAGAAGGTCGAGGCGCGCGGCTACGGCTCCAATACGTTCAAGAATTTTATGTCACCACACCCCAAACCAAGGCTACAGTAACGTCCGGGGGTGGCGGACTTCATGTATAGTATCATAACAAGAGTATAATAGTGAAGCCAAATAAATACATCATAATATAATTGAAAAATGTACACCATAGTATGAGTTTACATGTTTTAAAATCAATTACACTATGATGACAAAATGAACTGTTTGACGCCTTAGCGTCCCATCCTCAAAAGTTGCACTTTACCTGTTTTACTGATTTCCTGAGTATACAAGTAGTTTCAAAAAAGTGTCAACAATTAAGTTGGTGAGTTCATAAGCTTTTGAATGTAGAGTTTGAAAACCTTTTGTTGTAAATGTAACGTATACTCAAGAAAAATCCAATATTTTCCTTATAAAAATGTTATGTAGTCTTAAATTCCAAGACTGAATGTATGTGTGTTTTTGTACTGTAATGTGTTTGTAAGCAATTTCAATTTAAAATAGGTAAAACCCCTTTTTAAAGTAGAAATTCCCGTAAACTATATGTGTCGTTATCCTCCCTATGTGAGTCGCTATAACCTACTATAACAGAGATGCCTGCTGCGACGTTCTTCAGGCGTCGGAATCAAATGACATTTGTCACCCCCCGATCGGCCGATCGGGCTTTTGCAGCAGAATGGGTGTGGTTTGTCAATCCCAATATATATCTAGACACAATTATCACGCTCCACCTTATCAAGACCTACTCTGGAAGATCTCTGGTTATAAGTCAGGAAATTTTTTAACTCGTACTCTAAGAGTACAATGAAGACTAGTCTCACAATTACGATAACGAGTTTTACTGTAGTATGCGTGTAAAACCTTTTATGTGGTAGAATTGAAATCCCTTTTCGTGTAGTATGTTTGTAATGTGAAATCCATAAACTATACCTATTATAGTCTATCATGTGGTAAATGAAAACCCGTTTGTATGAGAGTAAAACCCTTTTCTGTGGTAGAATTGTATTGTACAAATCCAAATAAATACGATATGTATAGTTTTATTGTACTTATTTAAAGTGTATAAAAAACCCTTATCATGAATGACTAATTTCTGTTTATGATGTTTAGACTAACAAATACATTCAAAATTTTTAAACTTATTGTTATAAAACAATTTGCTCAACATGCTACAAAGTGTTGTTAAAATATTGTAAGATGTACTAGTTTTTGTAATACTTTTCTTTCTTGCTTTAAAACTGCAAAACGAGCTTAGAAAAATCATACGATAAGAAAAATCATACGAGTTTAAAACTGAGTCCGTAAACTCGAAGAGTTTAGAAAATGTGTCTAGGTTTTATTCATATTTTTTGTTATGATTTTTAGAAGTCTCTAACTTGTGTGAAATGTTCATATTCACATACTGGTCCGAATTCGTTCTGAAATGATAGGCAGTTTTGTAAAAATCACCAATAAATTGTAGAAAAATCGTATGTAGATGTGCAAGTAGTCATTAGAAAGATATAAACCTGAACTACTCGCATATTAAACAGTTTTGAAAGAGTATTAAGTTAACGTGGTCAAAACAGTCTCGTTGAATAGGAGTAAACTTTCCTGTTGAAAGGTGATTTTTAAGTTGTGTAGTTTTTTTTGTTAACTTGTAAAGAAATTCCGAGAAAACTCGAAGAAAACATGAAAAATGTTGGGTATGAACACCTTGTGATTTTTGTGGGATGGATGTTGAAGAAAAGAAGTTTCTAAGTCAAGAACACTTGGAAGTTGCGTGTGAAGATTTGAACATCTAAGAACAAATATGACGATATTTGTATAAGGAATCCATGATTTGTGTGAGAAAGTGTAGAATATTCAAGAGTAGGGTGAAGATACTTACCAAGAGTGAGGAAGAAAGCTCAAGATCAGCCTTGGATTTTCGAGTTCTTGGAGAGAGAGAGAAGGTGAGAGAGAAGTGAGTTTGTTTTTGGTGAGAAGTGAATCTTGGAGGAGAGATAAGGATTTTCCAAGACTTGATTAATGTAACTTGTTGAGAAGGGTGTGAAAGTACACAATAGTTGACTAAGGCTGATGTGAATAGTGACTGGAGGTTGTCATAGAGTGGGTATGGGAGATGGCTTGTTGTCATAGCTATATGGGAAAATCAAAGTACCTTCTTGTACTTTGCACTTTTATCCTAAACAATTTTAATGGATTATATCCTAGAAATATCTAGGATATGGATATTTTATGATCTTAGAGGGTTTGAAATGATAAAATATGGATTTATATGAAAATCCCCCCGCGTTGAATTACCAAAGAACGGGCTTTAAAACCGTGAAAATGGTCGAAAAAC